GTAAGTCTCAGTGCCCTCTATCAGAATCCAGAGTTTCGAGAAGATTGGGGATACTTAATTTTTCGCCCCCAAAAAAAAAAACGTAAGGGGTAACGTACTGTCGTTTTTTTTCGGGTCGAAATTTTGAGTTTCGATATCTCAGCTCTGGAAGGGTCTAGAGCCTCCATTTTTGCACTCAGGTGTAAGTCTCAGTGCCCTCTATCAGAATCCAGAGTTTCGAGAAGATTGGGGATACTTAATTTTTCGCCCCAAAAAAAAAACGTAAGGGGTAACACTGTCGTTTTTTTTTCGGGTCGAAATTTTGAGTTTCGATATCTCAGCTCTGGAAGGGTCTAGAGCCTCCATTTTTGCACTCAGGTGTAAGTCTCAGTGCCCTCTATCAGAATCCAGAGTTTCGAGAAGATTGGGGATACTTAATTTTTCGCCCAAAAAAAAAAACGTAAGGGGTAACACTGTCGTTTTTTTTTCGGGTCGAAATTTTGAGTTTCGATATCTCAGCTCTGGAAGGGTCTAGAGCCTCCATTTTTGCACTCAGGTGTAAGTCTCAGTGCCCTCTATCAGAATCCAGAGTTTCGAGAAGATTGGGGATACTTAATTTTTCGCCCCAAAAAAAAAACGTAAGGGGTAACACTGTCGTTTTTTTTTCGGGTCGAAATTTTGAGTTTCGATATCTCAGCTCTGGAAGGGTCTAGAGCCTCCATTTTTGCACTCAGGTGTAAGTCTCATGCCCTCTATCAGAATCCAGAGTTTCGAGAAGATTGGGGATACTTAATTTTTCGCCCCAAAAAAAAAACGTAAGGGGTAACACTGTCGTTTTTTTTTTCGGGTCGAAATTTTGAGTTTCGATATCTCAGCTCTGGAAGGGTCTAGAGCCTCCATTTTTGCACTCAGGTGTAAGTCTCAGTGCCCTCTATCAGAATCCAGAGTTTCGAGAAGATTGGGGATACTTAATTTTTCGCCCAAAAAAAAAAACGTAAGGGGTAACACTGTCGTTTTTTTTTCGGGTCGAAATTTTGAGTTTCGATATCTCAGCTCTGGAAGGGTCTAGAGCCTCCATTTTTGCACTCAGGTGTAAGTCTCAGTGCCCTCTATCAGAATCCAGAGTTTCGAGAAGATTGGGGATACTTAATTTTTCGCCCAAAAAAAAAAAACGTAAGGGGTAACACTGTCGTTTTTTTTTCGGGTCGAAATTTTGAGTTTCGATATCTCAGCTCTGGAAGGGTCTAGAGCCTCCATTTTTGCACTCAGGTGTAAGTCTCAGTGCCCTCTATCAGAATCCAGAGTTTCGAGAAGATTGGGGATACTTATTTTTCGCCCAAAAAAAAAAACGTAAGGGGTAACACTGTCGTTTTTTTTTTCGGGTCGAAATTTTGAGTTTCGATATCTCAGCTCTGGAAGGGTCTAGAGCCTCCATTTTTGCACTCAGGTGTAAGTCTCAGTGCCCTCTATCAGAATCCAGAGTTTCGAGAAGATTGGGGATACTTAATTTTTCGCCCCCAAAAAAAAAACGTAAGGGGTAACACTGTCGTTTTTTTTTCGGGTCGAAATTTTGAGTTTCGATATCTCAGCTCTGGAAGGGTCTAGAGCCTCCATTTTTGCACTCAGGTGTAAGTCTCAGTGCCCTCTATCAGAATCCAGAGTTTCGAGAAGATTGGGGATACTTAATTTTTCGCCCAAAAAAAAAAAACGTAAGGGGTAACACTGTCGTTTTTTTTTCGGGTCGAAATTTTGAGTTTCGATATCTCAGCTCTGGAAGGGTCTAGAGCCTCCATTTTTGCACTCAGGTGTAAGTCTCAGTGCCCTCTATCAGAATCCAGAGTTTCGAGAAGATTGGGGATACTTAATTTTTCGCCCCCCAAAAAAAAAAACGTAAGGGGTAACACTGTCGTTTTTTTTTCGGGTCGAAATTTTGAGTTTCGATATCTCAGCTCTGGAAGGGTCTAGAGCCTCCATTTTTGCACTCAGGTGTAAGTCTCAGTGCCCTCTATCAGAATCCAGAGTTTCGAGAAGATTGGGGATACTTAATTTTTCGCCCAAAAAAAAAAACGTAAGGGGTAACACTGTCGTTTTTTTTCGGGTCGAAATTTTGAGTTTCGATATCTCAGCTCTGGAAGGGTCTAGAGCCTCCATTTTTGCACTCAGGTGTAAGTCTCAGTGCCCTCTATCAGAATCCAGAGTTTCGAGAAGATTGGGGATACTTAATTTTTCGCCCAAAAAAAAAAACGTAAGGGGTAACACTGTCGTTTTTTTTTTCGGGTCGAAATTTTGAGTTTCGATATCTCAGCTCTGGAAGGGTCTAGAGCCTCCATTTTTGCACTCAGGTGTAAGTCTCAGTGCCCTCTATCAGAATCCAGAGTTTCGAGAAGATTGGGGATACTTAATTTTTCGCCCAAAAAAAAAAACGTAAGGGGTAACACTGTCGTTTTTTTTTCGGGTCGAAATTTTGAGTTTCGATATCTCAGCTCTGGAAGGGTCTAGAGCCTCCATTTTTGCACTCAGGTGTAAGTCTCAGTGCCCTCTATCAGAATCCAGAGTTTCGAGAAGATTGGGGATACTTAATTTTTCGCCCAAAAAAAAAAACGTAAGGGGTAACACTGTCGTTTTTTTTTCGGGTCGAAATTTTGAGTTTCGATATCTCAGCTCTGGAAGGGTCTAGAGCCTCCATTTTTGCACTCAGGTGTAAGTCTCAGTGCCCTCTATCAGAATCCAGAGTTTCGAGAAGATTGGGGATACTTAATTTTTCGCCCCCAAAAAAAAACGTAAGGGGTAACACTGTCGTTTTTTTTTCGGGTCGAAATTTTGAGTTTCGATATCTCAGCTCTGGAAGGGTCTAGAGCCTCCATTTTTGCACTCAGGTGTAAGTCTCAGTGCCCTCTATCAGAATCCAGAGTTTCGAGAAGATTGGGGATACTTAATTTTTCGCCCAAAAAAAAACGTAAGGGGTAACACTGTCGTTTTTTTTTTCGGGTCGAAATTTTGAGTTTCGATATCTCAGCTCTGGAAGGGTCTAGAGCCTCCATTTTTGCACTCAGGTGTAAGTCTCAGTGCCCTCTATCAGAATCCAGAGTTTCGAGAAGATTGGGATACTAAATTTTTCGCCCCAAAAAAAAAAACGTAAGGGGTAACACTGTCGTTTTTTTTTCGGGTCGAAATTTTGAGTTTCGATATCTCAGCTCTGGAAGGGTCTAGAGCCTCCATTTTTGCACTCAGGTGTAAGTCTCAGTGCCCTCTATCAGAATCCAGAGTTTCGAGAAGATTGGGGATACTTAATTTTTCCCCCAAAAAAAAACGTAAGGGGTAACACTGTCGTTTTTTTTTCGGGTCGAAATTTTGAGTTTCGATATCTCAGCTCTGGAAGGGTCTAGAGCCTCCATTTTTGCACTCAGGTGTAAGTCTCAGTGCCCTCTATCAGAATCCAGAGTTTCGAGAAGATTGGGGATACAAAATTTTTCGCCCCAAAAAAAAAAAAACGTAAGGGGTAACACTGTCGTTTTTTTTTTCGGGTCGAAATTTTGAGTTTCGATATCTCAGCTCTGGAAGGGTCTAGAGCCTCCATTTTTGCACTCAGGTGTAAGTCTCAGTGCCCTCTATCAGAATCCAGAGTTTCGAGAAGATTGGGGATACAAAATTTTTCGCCCAAAAAAAAAAACGTAAGGGGTAACACTGTCGTTTTTTTTTTCGGGTCGAAATTTTGAGTTTCGATATCTCAGCTCTGGAAGGGTCTAGAGCCTCCATTTTTGCACTCAGGTGTAAGTCTCAGTGCCCTCCATCAGAATCCAGAGTTTCGAGAAGATTGGGGATACTTAATTTTTCGCCCCAAAAAAAACGTAAGGGGTAACACTGTCGTTTTTTTTTTCGGGTCGAAATTTTGAGTTTCGATATCTCAGCTCTGGAAGGGTCTAGAGCCTCCATTTTTGCACTCCGGTGTAAGTCTCAGTGCCCTCTATCAGAATCCAGAGTTTCGAGAAGATTGGGGATACAAAATTTTTCGCCCCCCAAAAAAAAACGTAAGGGTTACACTGTCGTTTTTTTTTCGGGTCGAAATTTTGAGTTTCGATATCTCAGCTCTGGAAGGGTCTAGAGCCTCCATTTTTGCACTCAGGTGTAAGTCTCAGTGCCCTCTATCAGAATCCAGAGTTTCGAGAAGATTGGGGATACTTTTTTTTTCGCCCAAAAAAAAAAAACGTAAGGGGTAACACTGTCGTTTTTTTTTCGGGTCGAAATTTTGAGTTTCGATATCTCAGCTCTGGAAGGGTCTAGAGCCTCCATTTTTGCACTCAGGTTTAAGTCTCATGGCCCTCTATCAGAATCCAGAGTTTTGAGAAGATTGGAGAAACTTAATTTTTCGCCCAAAAAAAAAAACGAAAGAGGTACCACTGTCTTTTTTTTGGGTGGTTCGAATTTTTGAGTTTCGATATCTCAGCTCTGGAAGGGTCTAGAGCCTCAATTTTTGCACTCAGGTTTAAGTCTCATGGCCTTCTATCAGATTCCAGAGTTTTGAGAAGATTGGAGAAACTTAATTTCTCACCCGAAAAAAACAAAAACGAAAGGGGTACCACTGTTGTTTTTTTTGGGGGGGGGGTCGAATTTTTAGTGATCATCCACATCACCAAAGAGCGCTTGTGTTGAATTTGTTTACAATTAAGAATGGCTGCCACTGGAGAATTTAGATGTGTAGATTCCGCCATTGGTCTGTTATAGAAGATGTAGACACCACATTCATTTTAAAATACAAACAGAGAACCGCGATCAAGTCATTTGTCGATTGGAAAGATGAATGAAGAACATGCGTTTTAGGTCTATCCAATGAGTAGGTCTGTCGAGTGCAGAGGCATTTTCTTTCCACAGCCCAAAAATGTATTTAATCAACACTTTTTAAGATATTATTATAGAATTTTATAGATATTATTATATTATAGAATATAATTATATATAGAATTTTCTACTCCAATTCATTGTTGAAATATACGTAGACATTATAAAAACATTGGCTGTAAATATAACTTGTTTTCATGACAGATTTATTCAAACATACACATAATAATGAAGACTTCACTAACCGGTTAAAGTATAGTACATATAGCAAAATGCTCCCCGTCTTGCTATGGTAAATATTACATTGTTTGAAAGTGGTTTTATTGACATCTTTCCGCGGTTTAAATACTAAGCGATTACATGAAACATTATGCATTTCACTAAGTTGTACTGTTTTATACTTCCTGATGTTTATTTAATGCTATAATTGGTAGTAAAGAGAATGTATCCTGCTGTGATGTAAACACCCCGTGTGTGTGTGTGTGTGTGTGTGTGTGTGTGTGTGTGCGTGCGTGCGTGCGTGCGTGCAGGCGATGAGTATGTTCAGCAGTGCTCTAGCCTCCGGTCAGCTCGGCCCTCTCATGAACCAGTTTGGTCTTCCCTCTGAAGCAGTTGACGCAGCTAATAAAGGAGGCGAGTTGTGCAACGTCCTCAAATCAACAATTTGATTTCAAAATATATTGAAAAACAGGTAAAATGTTCACCATTTTAAAGAACTTTCACTTGCTTTGTCCTGATATTTAGATGTGGAGGCGTTTGCCAAGGCCATGGAGGGCAGTGATGCCAAGACCGATGATTCCAAAGACAAGAAAGATGATGAAGAGGACATGAGCTTGGATTACAACGGCCTTCTGTACACAACCGTGTCTCTCTGAAGTGTTAGTCTCATATTAGTCTGAGATGTTTGCCTGTAATCATTGATTCAAGTGTGTTTTGTATGTCCAAAGCTACACTATTAAACAATTGACAATGTAATGCCAGTTTGGGTGTGTGTGAAGCTAATCAAAGTGACAAGAAACTTGAAGGAAATGTTTATTGCCAAAAAAAATTGTTATTTTAGGGAATATGACAAAAAATATCAAAAGTGACAATACTTCTTGAGGTTTCAACTCCAGTGGATAATATACAATGAATCCCTATGGCACACGAGTCTGCTTAGGAACAGCCAGAGCAAATTGCTCTTCCTCCAGTGTTTTTAAACATCTAAATATTCCCATAAAACCCATTTAATGGTGTTTGGTCAGGATTGTATCAGTGACATCATGTACTAATTAAAGCTGGAACAAAATAAATCCAGTGCCTTTCCTCTGGTCCTGTCATTGATCAGTGGTGTCTTTCCACTTACAGTGCTTTTCATTTAACTACATACATGGGTGTCATAAAAGTAACCATAAATATCTGTTTACATTAAAGGCTAAGCAAACCCACCACCTGTTGATTTGATAGTGTCAGTGTACGTGGAGTATTTAGGGGTTAATGCAGGTGTGGTCTATAAGGCAGGGCAGCCCTGAGTCCCCACAGATCCAGACACAGATGAGGGTTTTGACAGCATGACAGTCCTGTGGTTGAGTACGGCTTTCCTCACGCACCCATGGAAAGGGAAGACGGCGGATGGGAGACCTGGTACAGCTATGGTATCTGCACAAGAGAGAAGAAAAGGCTTAATTACATTGAGCATCTTACCTCATTATATCAATGCAAGATTCTTGATTTGAAACATGATAGGAATTGTAAAAGCATTCAGGTGTCATAGCCGGTTTGCTGCCCAGATAAACGGACACTTTGCCCCCGTTCCATCCTCTCTGTTTGGGACCCACTCCATGTTCACTTGCCGAATCCACGTGTAGCTGGAAGACATTGCTCTTCTTCACAACTAAAATCTCAATAGCTCAGCTCTGGAAGGGTTTAGAGCATCCATTTTTGTACTCAGCTCTAAGTCTCATGGCCCTCTATTAGAATCGAGAGTTTCAAGAAGATTGGAGAAACTCAAAATTTCGACCCAAAAAAAAAAACGACAGTGTTACCCCTTTCGGGTTTTTTTTAGTGCGAAAAAATAAGTTTCTCCAATCTTCTTGAAACTCTGGATTCTGATAGAGGGCCATAAGACTTGGACCTGAGTGCAAAAATGGAGGCTCAGTCTAGACCCTTCAAGAGCTGAGATATTGAGATATTTATAATGGCATAAACGCTATGTGGGATCTCAATATCTCAGCTCTGGAAGGGTCTAGAGTCTCCATTTTTGCACTCAGGTCTAAGTCCCATGGCCCTCTATCAGAATCCAGAGTTTCAGGAAGATCAGAGAAACTCAAAATTTTGACCTTAAAAAACGACAGTGGTACCCCTGTCATTTTTTTTTTTTTTTTGTGCGAAAAAATAAGTTTCTCTAATCTTCTTGAAACTCTGGATTCTGATAGAGGGCCATGGGACTTAGACCTGAGTGCAAAAATGGAGGCTCTATGGCGACCAAACGTCACTGGTGAGACAAACGTGCAACGGACGGACGGTCAGATTACGTTTTGGCAGGGGAAAAACTGATCAGATAATGTAATGAAAATGTAACCGAAGTTGTAGAAATGTAGTGGAGTAGAAAGTGTAATAATTGCTGCAAAATGTAACGAAGTAAAAGAAAAAATTATGCGCTATTTATTCTACTTAAGTAAAGTAAAGATACATGAAAAATGTACTTAAGTAAAGTAACAAAGTATTTGTACTTCGTTACATTCCACCACTGCCTAACTGTACATGTGCATCAGATACCTGTGTGTGTGTTTACAGGGGTTTCACGCGGTACCTGTCCTAACTGCAGTGGTGGAGGAAGTACTGAATCTCAGTACTTAAGTAAAAATACAAATAACCAGATAAATATTTACTTTAGTAAAAGTACAAGTAACACAATGACAACCATACTTAAGTAAAAAGTAAAAAGTACCTGATTTTAAATGTACTTTAAGTATTAAAAGTAAAAGTACTTGCATAATTTATTTTCTTAATGTCTATTTTCTAATGATTAATAAAACATTTAATTCTAACTCATTCAACCTAATACTCCTATAATGATGTTCAATAATGATGGAAAAAAAATGTTGTCACCATTTCTGAAACAAGCTTGCAATTAGGCAATATACACATCATGCTTATCCTTACTATATGTTAATAAATATGGCAGTAAACTCGATTAATTTATGGTGTAATTCTGAACCTCTTGGCTTGCCATAATCCTAACCAAACGTATATTACACACGGTGCGTTTCCTATGCATGTAAAAACAAATTTTCGAGTATAAATTGCACTATAAACGCACTGCGTGCATCCGGGTTGATATATCTAGAGCCTCCATTTTTGCACTCAGGTCTAAGGCCCATGCCCCTCTATCAGAATCCAGAGTTTCGAGAAGATCAGAGCAACTCAAAATTTCGACCCGAATAAAACGACAGTGGTACCCCTGTCGTTTTTTTTTTTTTTTTGGTGCGAAAATTCTGATAGAGGGCCATAAGACTTAGACCTGAGTGCAAATATGGAGGCTCTAGACCCTTCCAGAGCTGAGATATTGAGATATTTATAATGGCATAAATGCCACTTGGGATCTCAATATCTCAGCTCTGGAAGGGTCTAGAGCCTCCATTTTTGCACTCAGGTCTAAGTCTCATGGCCCTCTATCAGAATCCAGAGTTTCAAGAAGATTGGAGAAACTCAAAATTTCGACCCAAATAACAAAAACCGACAGTGTTACCTGTTGTTGTTTTTTTTGTGCGAAAAAATAAGTTTCTCCAATCTTCTTGAAACTATGGATTCTGATAGAGGACCATAAGACTTAGACCTGAGTGCAAATATGGAGGCTCTAGACCCTTCCAGAGTTGAGATATTGAGAAATTTATAATGGCATAAATGCTACGTAGGATCTCAATATCTTAGCTCTGGAAGGGTTTAGAGCCCCATTTTTGCACTCAGGTCTAAGTCCCATGGCCCTCTATCAGAATCCAGAGTTTCAAGAAGATTGGAGAAACTTATTTTTTCGCACAAAAAAAAAAAAAAAAAACGAAAGGGGTAACACTGTCGTTTTTTTTTTTGGGGTCGAAATTTTGAGTTTCTCCAATCTTCTTGAAACTCTGTATTCTGATAGAGGGCCATGATACTTAGACCTGGGTGCAAAAATGGAGGCTCTAGACCCTTCCAGAGCTGATATATCGAAACTCAAAAATTCGACCCCCCAAAAAAAACGACAGTGGTACCCCTTTCGGTTTTTTTTTCGGGCGAAAAATTAAGTTTCTCCAATCTTCTCAAAACTCTGGATTCTGATAGAGGGCCATGAGACTTAAACCTGAGCGCAAAAATGGAGGCTCTAGACCCTTCCAGAGCTGAGATATCGAAACTCAAAATTTCGACCCGAAAAAAAACGACAGTGTTACCCCTTACGTTTTTTTTTTTTGGGCGAAAAATTAAGTATCCCCAATCTTCTCGAAACTCTGGATTCTGATAGAGGGCACTGAGACTTACACCTGAGTGCAAAAATGGAGGCTCTAGACCCTTCCAGAGCTGAGATATCGAAACTCAAAATTTCGACCCGAAAAAAAAACGACAGTGTTACCCCTTACGTTTTTTTTTTTGGGCGAAAAATTAAGTATCCCCAATCTTCTCGAAACTCTGGATTCTGATAGAGGGCACTGAGACTTACACCTGAGTGCAAAAATGGAGGCTCTAGACCCTTCCAGAGCTGAGATATCGAAACTCAAAATTTCGACCCGAAAAAAAAACGACAGTGTTACCCCTTACGTTTTTTTTTGGGGGCGAAAAATTAAGTATCCCCAATCTTCTCGAAACTCTGGATTCTGATAGAGGGCACTGAGACTTACACCTGAGTGCAAAAATGGAGGCTCTAGACCCTTCCAGAGCTGAGATATCGAAACTCAAAATTTCGACCCGAAAAAAAAACGACAGTGTTACCCCTTACGTTTTTTTTGGGGGGCGAAAAATTAAGTATCCCCAATCTTCTCGAAACTCTGGATTCTGATAGAGGGCACTGAGACTTACACCTGAGTGCAAAAATGGAGGCTCTAGACCCTTCCAGAGCTGAGATATCGAAACTCAAAATTTCGACCCGAAAAAAAAACGACAGTGTTACCCCTTACGTTTTTTTTTTTTGGGCGAAAAATTAAGTATCCCCAATCTTCTCGAAACTCTGGATTCTGATAGAGGGCACTGAGACTTACACCTGAGTGCAAAAATGGAGGCTCTAGACCCTTCCAGAGCTGAGATATCGAAACTCAAAATTTCGACCCGAAAAAAAAACGACAGTGTTACCCCTTACGTTTTTTTTTGGGGCGAAAAATTAAGTATCCCCAATCTTCTCGAAACTCTGGATTCTGATAGAGGGCACTGAGACTTACACCTGAGTGCAAAAATGGAGGCTCTAGACCCTTCCAGAGCTGAGATATCGAAACTCAAAATTTCGACCCGAAAAAAAAAACGACAGTGTTACCCCTTACGTTTTTTTTTTGGGCGAAAAATTTAGTATCCCCAATCTTCTCGAAACTCTGGATTCTGATAGAGGGCATGGGGCTTACACCTGAGTGCAAAAATGGAGGCTCTAGACCCTTCCAGAGCTGAGATATCGAAACTCAAAATTTCGACCCGAAAAAAAAACGACAGTGTTACCCCTTACGTTTTTTTTTTGGGCGAAAAATTTAGTATCCCCAATCTTCTCGAAACTCTGGATTCTGATAGAGGGCACTGAGACTTACACCTGAGCGCAAAAATGGAGGCTCTAGACCCTTCCAGAGCTGAGATATCGAAACTCAAAATTTCGACCCGAAAAAAAAACGACAGTGTTACCCCTTACGTTTTTTTTTTGGGCGAAAAATTAAGTATCCCCAATCTTCTCGAAACTCTGGATTCTGATAGAGGGCACTGAGACTTACACCTGAGTGCAAAAATGGAGGCTCTAGACCCTTCCAGAGCTGAGATATCGAAACTCAAAATTTCGACCCGAAAAAAAAACGACAGTGTTACCCCTTACGTTTTTTTTTTGGGCGAAAAATTAAGTATCCCCAATCTTCTCGAAACTCTGGATTCTGATAGAGGGCACTGAGACTTACACCTGAGTGCAAAAATGGAGGCTCTAGACCCTTCCAGAGCTGAGATATCGAAACTCAAAATTTCGACCCGAAAAAAAAACGACAGTGTTACCCCTTACGTTTTTTTTTTTGGGCGAAAAATTAAGTATCCCCAATCTTCTCGAAACTCTGGATTCTGATAGAGGGCACTGAGACTTACACCTGAGTGCAAAAATGGAGGCTCTAGACCCTTCCAGAGCTGAGATATCGAAACTCAAAATTTCGACCCGAAAAAAAAAACGACAGTGTTACCCCTTACGTTTTTTTTTTTTGGGCGAAAAATTAAGTATCCCCAATCTTCTCGAAACTCTGGATTCTGATAGAGGGCACTGAGACTTACACCTGAGTGCAAAAATGGAGGCTCTAGACCCTTCCAGAGCTGAGATATCGAAACTCAAAATTTCGACCCGAAAAAAAAACGACAGTGTTACCCCTTACGTTTTTTTTTTTGGGCGAAAAATTAAGTATCCCCAATCTTCTCGAAACTCTGGATTCTGATAGAGGGCACTGAGACTTACACCTGAGTGCAAAAATGGAGGCTCTAGACCCTTCCAGAGCTGAGATATCGAAACTCAAAATTTCGACCCGAAAAAAAAACGACAGTGTTACCCCTTACGTTTTTTTTTTTGGGCGAAAAATTAAGTATCCCCAATCTTCTCGAAACTCTGGATTCTGATAGAGGGCACTGAGACTTACACCTGAGTGCAAAAATGGAGGCTCTAGACCCTTCCAGAGCTGAGATATCGAAACTCAAAATTTCGACCCGAAAAAAAAACGACAGTGTTACCCCTTACGTTTTTTTTTTTGGGCGAAAAATTAAGTATCCCCAATCTTCTCGAAACTCTGGATTCTGATAGAGGGCACTGAGACTTACACCTGAGTGCAAAAATGGAGGCTCTAGACCCTTCCAGAGCTGAGATATCGAAACTCAAAATTTCGACCCGAAAAAAAAAACGACAGTGTTACCCCTTACGTTTTTTTTTTTGGGCGAAAAATTAAGTATCCCCAATCTTCTCGAAACTCTGGATTCTGATAGAGGGCACTGAGACTTACACCTGAGTGCAAAAATGGAGGCTCTAGACCCTTCCAGAGCTGAGATATCGAAACTCAAAATTTCGACCCGAAAAAAAAACGACAGTGTTACCCCTTACGTTTTTTTTTTTGGGCGAAAAATTAAGTATCCCCAATCTTCTCGAAACTCTGGATTCTGATAGAGGGCACTGAGACTTACACCTGAGTGCAAAAATGGAGGCTCTAGACCCTTCCAGAGCTGAGATATCGAAACTCAAAATTTCGACCCGAAAAAAAAACGACAGTGTTACCCCTTACGTTTTTTTTTTTTGGGCGAAAAATTAAGTATCCCCAATCTTCTCGAAACTCTGGATTCTGATAGAGGGCACTGAGACTTACACCTGAGTGCAAAAATGGAGGCTCTAGACCCTTCCAGAGCTGAGATATCGAAACTCAAAATTTCGACCCGAAAAAAAAACGACAGTGTTACCCCTTACGTTTTTTTTTTGGGGCGAAAAATTAAGTATCCCCAATCTTCTCGAAACTCTGGATTCTGATAGAGGGCACTGAGACTTACACCTGAGTGCAAAAATGGAGGCTCTAGACCCTTCCAGAGCTGAGATATCGAAACTCAAAATTTCGACCCGAAAAAAAAACGACAGTGTTACCCCTTACGTTTTTTTTTTTGGGCGAAAAATTAAGTATCCCCAATCTTCTCGAAACTCTGGATTCTGATAGAGGGCACTGAGACTTACACCTGAGTGCAAAAATGGAGGCTCTAGACCCTTCCAGAGCTGAGATATCGAAACTCAAAATTTCGACCCGAAAAAAAAACGACAGTGTTACCCCTTACGTTTTTTTTTGGGCGAAAAATTAAGTATCCCCAATCTTCTCGAAACTCTGGATTCTGATAGAGGGCACTGAGACTTACACCTGAGTGCAAAAATGGAGGCTCTAGACCCTTCCAGAGCTGAGATATCGAAACTCAAAATTTCGACCCGAAAAAAAAACGACAGTGTTACCCCTTACGTTTTTTTTTTGGGCGAAAAATTAAGTATCCCCAATCTTCTCGAAACTCTGGATTCTGATAGAGGGCACTGAGACTTACACCTGAGTGCAAAAATGGAGGCTCTAGACCCTTCCAGAGCTGAGATATCGAAACTCAAAATTTCGACCCGAAAAAAAAACGACAGTGTTACCCCTTACGTTTTTTTTTTTGGGCGAAAAATTAAGTATCCCCAATCTTCTCGAAACTCTGGATTCTGATAGAGGGCACTGAGACTTACACCTGAGTGCAAAAATGGAGGCTCTAGACCCTTCCAGAGCTGAGATATCGAAACTCAAAATTTCGACCCGAAAAAAAAACGACAGTGTTACCCCTTACGTTTTTTTTTTGGGCGAAAAATTAAGTATCCCCAATCTTCTCGAAACTCTGGATTCTGATAGAGGGCACTGAGACTTACACCTGAGTGCAAAAATGGAGGCTCTAGACCCTTCCAGAGCTGAGATATCGAAACTCAAAATTTCGACCCGAAAAAAAAACGACAGTGTTACCCCTTACGTTTTTTTTTGGGGCGAAAAATTAAGTATCCCCAATCTTCTCGAAACTCTGGATTCTGATAGAGGGCACTGAGACTTACACCTGAGTGCAAAAATGGAGGCTCTAGACCCTTCCAGAGCTGAGATATCGAAACTCAAAATTTCGACCCGAAAAAAAAACGACAGTGTTACCCCTTACGTTTTTTTTTTGGGCGAAAAATTAAGTATCCCCAATCTTCTCGAAACTCTGGATTCTGATAGAGGGCACTGAGACTTACACCTGAGTGCAAAAATGGAGGCTCTAGACCCTTCCAGAGCTGAGATATCGAAACTCAAAATTTCGACCCGAAAAAAAAACGACAGTGTTACCCCTTACGTTTTTTTTTTTGGGCGAAAAATTAAGTATCCCCAATCTTCTCGAAACTCTGGATTCTGATAGAGGGCACTGAGACTTACACCTGAGTGCAAAAATGGAGGCTCTAGACCCTTCCAGAGCTGAGATATCGAAACTCAAAATTTCGACCCGAAAAAAAAACGACAGTGTTACCCCTTACGTTTTTTTTTTTGGGCGAAAAATTAAGTATCCCCAATCTTCTCGAAACTCTGGATTCTGATAGAGGGCACTGAGACTTACACCTGAGTGCAAAAATGGAGGCTCTAGACCCTTCCAGAGCTGAGATATCGAAACTCAAAATTTCGACCCGAAAAAAAAACGACAGTGTTACCCCTTACGTTTTTTTTTTTTGGGCGAAAAATTAAGTATCCCCAATCTTCTCGAAACTCTGGATTCTGATAGAGGGCACTGAGACTTACACCTGAGTGCAAAAATGGAGGCTCTAGACCCTTCCAGAGCTGAGATATCGAAACTCAAAATTTCGACCCGAAAAAAAAACGACAGTGTTACCCCTTACGTTTTTTTTTTTGGGCGAAAAATTAAGTATCCCCAATCTTCTCAAAACTCTGGATTCTGATAGAGGGCACTGAGACTTACACCTGAGTGCAAAAATGGAGGCTCTAGACCCTTCCAGAGCTGAGATATCGAAACTCAAAATTTCGACCCGAAAAAAAAACGACAGTGTTACCCCTTACGTTTTTTTTTTTGGGCGAAAAATTAAGTATCCCCAATCTTCTCGAAACTCTGGATTCTGATAGAGGGCACTGAGACTTACACCTGAGTGCAAAAATGGAGGCTCTAGACCCTTCCAGAGCTGAGATATCGAAACTCAAAATTTCGACCCGAAAAAAAAACGACAGTGTTACCCCTTACGTTTTTTTTGGGGCGAAAAATTAAGTATCCCCAATCTTCTCGAAACTCTGGATTCTGATAGAGGGCACTGAGACTTACACCTGAGTGCAAAAATGGAGGCTCTAGACCCTTCCAGAGCTGAGATATCGAAACTCAAAATTTCGACCCGAAAAAAAAACGACAGTGTTACCCCTTACGTTTTTTTTTTTGGGCGAAAAATTAAGTATCCCCAATCTTCTCGAAACTCTGGATTCTGATAGAGGGCACTGAGACTTACACCTGAGTGCAAAAATGGAGGCTCTAGACCCTTCCAGAGCTGAGATATCGAAACTCAAAATTTCGACCCGAAAAAAAAACGACAGTGTTACCCCTTACGTTTTTTTTTTTTGGGCGAAAAATTAAGTATCCCAATCTTCTCGAAACTCTGGATTCTGATAGAGGGCATGAGACTTACACCTGAGTGCAAAAATGGAGGCTCTAGACCCTTCCAGAGCTGAGATATCGAAACTCAAAATTTCGACCCGAAAAAAAAACGACAGTGTTACCCCTTACGTTTTTTTTTTGGGCGAAAAATTAAGTATCCCCAATCTTCTCGAAACTCTGGATTCTGATAGAGGGCATGAGACTTACACCTGAGTGCAAAAATGGAGGCTCTAGACCCTTCCAGAGCTGAGATATCGAAACTCAAAATTTCGACCCGAAAAAAAAACGACAGTGTTACCCCTTACGTTTTTTTTTTTGGGCGAAAAATTAAGTATCCCCAATCTTCTCGAAACTCTGGATTCTGATAGAGGGCACTGAGACTTACACCTGAGTGCAAAAATGGAGGCTCTAGACCCTTCCAGAGCTGAGATATCGAAACTCAAAATTTCGACCCGAAAAAAAAACGACAGTGTTACCCCTTACGTTTTTTTGGGGGGGCGAAAAATTAAGTATCCCCAATCTTCTCGAAACTCTGGATTCTGATAGAGGGCACTGAGACTTACACCTGAGTGCAAAAATGGAGGCTCTAGACCCTTCCAGAGCTGAGATATCGAAACTCAAAATTTCGACCCGAAAAAAAAACGACAGTGTTACCCCTTACGTTTTTTTTGGGCGAAAAATTAAGTATCCCCAATCTTCTCGAAACTCTGGATTCTGATAGAGGGCACTGAGACTTACACCTGAGTGCAAAAATGGAGGCTCTAGACCCTTCCAGAGCTGAGATATCGAAACTCAAAATTTCGACCCGAAAAAAAAACGACAGTGTTACCCCTTACGTTTTTTTTTTGGGGCGAAAAATTAAGTATCCCCAATCTTCTCGAAACTCTGGATTCTGATAGAGGGCACTGAGACTTACACCTGAGTGCAAAAATGGAGGCTCTAGACCCTTCCAGAGCTGAGATATCGAAACTCAAAATTTCGACCCGAAAAAAAAACGACAGTGTTACCCCTTACGTTTTTTTTTTTTGGGCGAAAAATTAAGTATCCCCAATCTTCTCGAAACTCTGGATTCTGATAGAGGGCACTGAGACTTACACCTGAGTGCAAAAATGGAGGCTCTAGACCCTTCCAGAGCTGAGATATCGAAACTCAAAATTTCGACCCGAAAAAAAAACGACAGTGTTACCCCTTAAGTTTTTTTTGGGGGGCGAAAAATTAAGTATCCCCAATCTTCTCGAAACTCTGGATTCTGATAGAGGGCCATGAGAATTAGACCTGAGTGCAAAAATGGAGGCTCTAAAAAAAATTCCAACTGAAATTCATTTATAGACTTTGCATAATTATTAGATGGTGTTTGCTCATTGAAATTTTGCAATGCCTTTGACAGCGTCTGGAGCGGGGGGAGGAGGAGGACAAGGTCCTGGCAGGCCCAAAATGGCCAAGTCTCCATCAATCAACAACATCCACAGCAAGCACGCTCGCTCTATACCCAGACCGCCAGGGCTCCCAAACAATTCCCTCATACATCAGGTTCGTTTCTTTAAATCATCCGCTTGCTTCATTGTTTCAGTTCAGAATGTAACATTGCCCGTTGTTTCCGGCAGCCAAAGGCTCGTCCCTGACACCGGTGTGGAGGCTCTGAGCGTGCTGAGCAGTAGGCTGGACCCAGAGCTCCCTCAGCCCCCTCATGCCACTCTGCACGAGGCCTTCTTTTTCTCTTACTCTTCCCACAATCCTCAGGGTGGAATGCACACTGGGTGGCCCATTTGATGTCCTTCGTGGGGATTTCCTCCCAAAGCCATGCAGGGGCACTCTCCTGGGATAGGATAATAAGCCAGAGAGATCTAGTTCTCCTGTCGGTGGTTATAACGAATCTATACAATGCACCATTGGGTACAACGCCTGCTGCGTAGAGCTACCCAGCCTGAGCACTTACGCTGGGGTCTGAAGGTACAGATTTGGGCTGGTACGTAGCCTCACCAACACTACCAGGCATAGGAGGGATGGGCAACACAAACAAGATGAGTTCTGTGTGGGCTACTGGAAACTGAAATCCTACTCAGCCTGGGAGGAAGTGTACAGGAGAGGAACATCCCTACAGTAGACACACAATCAACTTAAGTTAATCATAACACGCGAAGGCTGAGTAAGATCGAGCTACGCTCACTGCAGATAGACCATGACAGGAGTGGAGTTTCAACACGAGCAACCTAAACTTAAAAGATTATGCAAACTAGACATTTTTACACCACATTTTGTTTACAGGCTAGCAAATGTATAGCAAACAGAACAAAATACCATTTATCATACACCTTTTTGTTTTTGGAGAGAAATGAATCATGTTTAAATTTAGAGTTTTGTTTTATTTCAAGGGAATTTTTATGAACTTTGTCTAAAGGAGTTACTTTTTTTACAGAACAATCCAACCCTGACTTGAACTCTAACACCCTGCATTACCTAAAGCACTTGACCCCCCCACACCTCATTCGTTTGAATAATTTCAGGTTTGTTAGTAGCCTAGCATGTCTTCACTGAATCTCTGAGCAACAGTTGTCTCTTGAAGCTCCAAAAAAGATTCAGTTTTAGGTACATTAAGGGCTTGATTCAGTAAAGCTTTTTAGCACATGCGAAAACAACTGCAGGAACAAAACGAGAGACAGCAGGTGACATCTCACTTCCTCCAATTACCCATTGTAGCACTAAAGAAGCATGTGCTGAAATCTTAATGTACTAAAATCTGCAGTCTTGCTTGAAAATGATTGTAGGAGAGCCATTTCCTGGTGTCAATGCCTTAGGCATTGACACCGTTTCAATCTCAGAAAAGGGGCTGTTGAGCCATAGAGCGACATTACAGACACACTATCATCTCGGCAATGGAGCAGACACATATACAGTAGTCTGGCCATCCCCATCTCATGAAATAACCACTAACTTTTACCGCGACCCAACGTTCCTGCATTGATCCGACACGAACCGAAAGAGCTTAGTAGCTGGACGTTCTGATTTAAATCTCATTTTCATTGTGGGTCTGTCAACTTAAAAAGGCAATAGATCCGTTTTTGGCTCGTTGATCTTCAGAAGAGTTGTTGAGCTAAGTTGGGTCTTCACTTTAAAACTCCTGTAAATTCCTGAACTCCACTGATGTCAGTCAGCAATCGTTGCTGAGAAGTAGAGCATGAATTTTTTTTCGTGTGTGCGCGCGTGAGTGTATTTTTTTCCCTTCGGCTTTTTCGTACACGAAACCGAATATAAATATTGAAGTATCCCTATTTCAGAAATACATATTTTGTTAAAGAATTGTACATATGGAGATGTATTTTTGCACAGGCATTTTCGTAAAACTTTTTGGTACAATTGATATCATTATTATTTATTTAGTAAATGGAAACATTCTAAGATTATTAGAAGTGGTTCACTGCCAAGCAAATAATGCAATACGCCACTCTATCCAAACACCCGCTTCTTGTTAGTCACATGCCGAGTTACCCCAGATTGGGAAATCATCTACCGCATAAATATATTTTTAGGTGTTAATAGTGCTTTCCCCCCCTCCCTCATATCTCAATCCACGAGGTCCGTGAATGTGATCAAAATAGCCCGTTACAACTGTGCTAAAGATTTCTGGCTGGCTGATGTATTTTGTAGGGCTTTTCTTACTGGAAGAGGGAACAAAACAGTTGTACAGTGCAAAAGGTGCACCACTGTTGCCAAATGTTGTAATTGGATACATTGCTTTTAATTACTTATTCATTTGCTTTTATTTAACGCTGACATAAAAAAAAAAAAAAAAAAAGAGAAAGTGCCTGAATTAGTTTCTCATTGACTGTTGTTAAGGCAGAGCTTTTTATTTCATGTATTCAATTTTCCACAGTACTTGAATGTTATAAAAAAGGTTTAGGAACGTTTTAAACCTGCCTAGGAATCTCATACGTCGCCCTTTTCCCCTTCAAGTAGAGCAGTAACTGATTGATGAAATGCATGGCAGAGGAGTGACACTGATGTGAGAAAAGCTTCCCGTCTGTCCCTTATATTCTTTTATGACTACTTTTGATATTAGAAATTTTCAAAGCGAGAGGGATCGATATTTTTGTGGCAAAGTCAATGATTTCAACCAATGTTTTAGGCAGATAAATGTACTGTTTACCTTGAAATTGTAACTCCACTGTTTTCAGATGACGAAAGCTTTGTGAAGATGTTCGCTCAAACAACAGATTTGGAATGTGAATCTAAGATAAAGACAGTTTGCTTTTTGGGGAAGAAGCCTCTACATATAAACCTATGTATAAGTGTGTATATTTTGATTTCTTTCTTTTTTCTTTTTTTTTTTTGTATACATATTCAAAAATCATTTGATCAGCTGGACTTTTGTGTGTTGGCTGCTATGTAATTCATGAACAAACACAGTAGGGTAGATTTACTTAATATTTAAAGAAAAGATTGTATAGTATATTTGTTTTGTAACAAGTTTCTGTAAATATATAAAAAAAATAATTTATACAGTTATTTATAAGAAAAAATGTGTCACTCATCTTTTTTCTCCATTTGCTCACACAACAGAGAAACTCTGTTTCCTCCAATTCAGTTTTATTATATACTGTACATAAAACAAAAGACAGGTTGCTCTCAAGAAAAGATGGGTATCGATCAATCGCCACATGCTGGACTACATGTTGATCACTCTGGACAGCTTCTGCACTCTGTTGAGCAGGAGATCACCTTTCTTTATGGTTTCTTGGTACTGCCAGTTCTTACTATCAGGTCTGGGAGAGAAAAAAAGGACAAGTTATGCCTTGTTCACACTGCATGATTTTAAAACGTCGGGCTGAACTGTGCGGTTCACACTACATGACTTGCTCTCAGTGAAATCTGGAGTGTTCAAGTTGTTAACTGTTCACACCACACAACACAACGTGATTGATCCACAACAGGAGGTAACTCACTACACGAGTTGACAACGCACTGCATAGAGATACAACCACGATCAAATGATAAGAGCAAATCATTTGCGAGCTGTTTCAGTACTATGTTACGGTCTAAATCCTGAAAATAATCAAATAAATAACAAGTTGACAACAACTCTGTCACCCAACGAGTCTATCTTGTCAACAAACCACGTTTTGTCACGAAAAAAACACGCAATAAATAAATAAATATTGCGCCAATACCCAGCGAAGAAGAGAACACAACACGTGAATATGGACGTCAGACAGAAACTAGTGCTGCACACTGTTTGCTCGACGATCTGCTCTGAGGGAAAAAATGCAAAAGAAGAGAGAAAAACTAAGATTTACCTGGTGTCCTCAACCCATGCGTTGCTATGATTGGCTGTACTCATGACATCACTGAGTTTGAGTCGCACGACTGCTCTGGATATCTAGCAGGCTAGATATTTTTCTGGGCTCGGCGAGGTGTCTGCGAGCGTTTTCGCTGCGTTGTTGGCTCTTTCATACTAACAGATTGGCAAGCGTTCATCGTCCGCTAATCTCCCGCGATTTGCACGCGATAACACCCTGACCTGTCGGCGACTCAACGATTTGCAAATCGGGCATAAATCGGGCTTAAAATCATGTAGTGTGAACTTGGCTTTAGTTGACCATAGATCAAACAGGGATTTAAATGATTAATAGATGCATTAACAGTTAGGTCTTCACCTGTTGGTTTCCACAATCTCATTAACTTTGTCGATCTTGCAATGTAAACGTCCAGCAGCGATAAATCGTGACAACTCCCTTGGGAAAGGGAAAGACCAAAGTGAGTGAAGAAAATGTTTCCATAAATTATAGCATAAAAGTTTATATGAATGTGGGAGCGTACTGGTCGATGAACTCTGTGCTGACTCCAAACGCTTCAGCCATGTATCCCAGCGTGAGGGAGCGGTAGGATTCCAGTAACTGGCTGTAGGCCAGGATGCGCATCTCTCGAACATAGTAACGGTAATGAGGAGCAAACAACCAGTCTTGCTTCATCTCCTGTTCCACTCGAGCTACAGGAGAGAAACGGATGGATAATCTAACAAACATTTTTTAGGAGAAGTGCTTTCAATAAACACTGCGAATAATATAGCTTACAGCATCTTAAAGTGGAGAGTGGCTAGTTAAGCAATAACATTCTCTTAAGTGAGTGACATGAAGGCCAAGTATAGACCTTATTCAGAGCAGCGCCATGACAGGTATGAAAGTGAGGCTGTGAGGGATAGACTTACATGAGCAGAACAATCCAAAAACACATTAAATAACAGTACAGCCCATTGAAGAGATGCATGACTATCCCTCACAGACTCGCTTTCATTCTCACTAAAAAAAAAAAAAAGATGGCGCTGCCGTGAATAAGGCAGTTCCTCTGCATTTAACCCATCCAAGTCTGTGCACACACACATACATTGAGCAGTAGGCAGCCATTTTACTGTTACGATTGAGAGTTAGGTGTCTTGCTCAAGGGCACCTCAGTCATTTCATGCCTGTATTGAGAATCAAACCCATGACTTTTGGGTCGCTCGACTGTTATTTTACTTACCCAATGATTGGAAGAATACAGAATAACGGCACTCGTAGAGAGAGAAGAGGTACTGACGGACGGCAGGTAAACTGTGCAACACCTCCAAGATCTCAGCACCTTTAATCACCTGAAAGAAAGCCAGAGATTCCAGGGTTTATTTCTATTAGATTGAATTGTATCTGTATCAGGTTTTAGCCATATAACACTTAAAACGCTTAAAAAGGAAGCCTTTTGTTAGCGGACTACTCTATGGAAATTGCACACTTGCTTTTTGATACCAAAAAAAATGGATCTCTTATGTAGAGCTAAAGCATTTTGTGTTACTCTAGATAAGTGTAAAAATTCATATAAATTTATATATGCGATTCTTTAAAGCTGGGGAACCATAAATGGGAACCTTAAATGGGTGCTAGTAAAGAGGTCAATAGTAAATTTGAGGGAAAATATTTTTAGGGCTGTCAAAATTAATGTTAATTTTAAAACATTTAGAGAATTTCATATTACCTTTTATTCGGATTTCTAAAGTCTAGTTTGAAATCATGAAATTAAGCATGATTAATTTATTTTATTGACAGCCATAGTCTTTAACATTAAGAAATCAACTAAATTAAAATTAAAACTTAGAGTATTTGTAAGAGTTTCACCATTACCTTTATCTTTACACAGCTAATATAAAGAGAACATTGTAATATTCTATGATAATCAAATAGCAAATTAATTTTATAAGCAACATAAAATAACTTCTTTTTCTTTACTTTTGTTAGTGGGTCCGTGGCATCAAAAAGTGTTTAAAAACCCCAGCTCTGTAGACTGAGGAAGCTGAGAAGACAAAATATGAAAAATGTCCACACTACCATTAAAAAGTTTGGGGTTTGTATCTTATGCTCACAGAGGCTCCATTTATTTGATTAAAAATACAGTAAAAATATTGTGAAATATTATTACAATTTAAAATGACTGCTTCGTAATATTTTAAAATGTAATTTATCCCTGTGATGCTAAATTTTCAGCATTATTACTCAACATTATTATACGTGTGTTTGCCAACCTTACTAAGTCATAGTATTGCATTTTCTAAAAAATATATAACACTAGCCCAAAGCAGGACTCAAATCACATTTGTAAAAACAAAACCAAGAAACATCAGCACTACATTTAGGCCAGATCTTACCTTCTCTCTCAGGTCAGGCCTCTTCAGTGCGATCATACACACATACACAGTGTATGTAACAAACGTCTTGTAGTCCATAAGCTCATACGAGGTGAATGTGGAGACAGTGTCCAGAAAGAGCTCCGCTGCCTGCTTGAAATCCCGAATGGCCACGCAGTAGAGACCCTGATACACCTTCAGACGATTCCTCCGGTCCCAGTCACCACCTTCTTCAATCAGACTGTTCATGCATGCAAAGTTCAAGAGTCAGGCCAACATTACAGCTTGAGATGCATTTGTTCACTAAAAATAAGTATACAGTCTATTATAGTAATACCACACCTTTTGGCTTTCTCGGTGTTGCGTGTTATGAGGTCGTTGTCCATATAAAACAGGCCGATCCTCAGCAGGTAGAAAACAATATCTAAGCGATGACCAAGAGCAACAGTCTTGTCATAGGTCTTCCTGAAGGCAGTCAGGGCCCCTTCCTAAATGAACGGCAGAGAAATATAAACAGTGCATTAAAAGATGAAGTTGAAATAGTGTAAGAATCAATACAGCGAAGTTGAACAGAAAGCAGGACATTGAATTTACAAATGCTACATGCCCATGAACAGATGTAACCAACATCATCAGTCAAAAGTTTGGGGTTAGTATATTTTTTTTTAAGAAATTAAAGGCTTTAATTCAGCAAGCATGCATTAAATTGATATTAAATTGATCAAAAGAGACAGTAAAAACATTTATAATGTTACAAAATAATTCTGTTTCAAATAAATAGTAAGAGATTAAGAACCAAAACTGTTTTCAACATTGATAAGAAATGTTTCTAGAGAACCAAATCATCATATTTGAATGATGGGGTCAATTTTTTTTTTTTTTTTAAATTGAGATTTATGCAGTATTTGAAAGCTGAATACATAAGCTTTCCATTGATGTATGGTTTGTTATGAAAGGATGGGATACAACTATTTGAAAATCTGGAATCTGGGTGCAAAACATTGAGATAATCGCCTTTAAAGTTGCCCATTTATGTTTGCGATTGTGCTGCATTCACTCACAAAAAAGAAATTATATTATAAATAATTATAAATATATAAACACAATTGTTTTATACATTTACGGTAGGAAATGTACTAAATATTTTCATGAAACATGATCATTATTTAATTTCCAAATGATTTTTGGCATAAAAAGCTGTGCCTTCACAGAAAAAATTACATTTTAAAATATATTAAAATAGAAATTGTCATATTTCACAATATTACTGTTTTTACTGTTCGCTTGCAGTAAGTTCGCACTGCAGCCTTGGTGAGCTCCCGCTTAACATTAAAAAAAAAAAAAAACATCTCATCAACCCCAAACTTTAAAATGTAATGTATATGTAATTCATGTCTAAAAATGAGTCCACAGTTCTTTCAGACATTGTTCAAATCATCATCATCATCATCACTGTGTGAATTCTTACCTTGTCACCGATGCGTATGAGATATTCAGCTTTGGCCATCATGGCATCCCTGATCTCACTCTCGCCGAGGTTCTTCTCGGCATCTTCCAAAACATCATCCAGACGTTTCAGCTCGTCCTCATTTTCTTTCTTCATCTTACTCAACAGATCCGTGTCCGCCTGCCATTTCAGATCTTTACACAGAGTTTCATAGTATGGGGCCATATCTACAAAATAGAGCATCACATCACCAATCACCATATGCACATTTTAGGACTTTCACTTATATAATACAACCAGTTCTTGATATGTATGAAAGGAAATGCATTCAAAAGAGAAACAGTAGAGAAACGATGCTCTACATAAAGGGTTTTCAATCTTTTAAATGTCACGAACCCCCAAAATATGATTTTTACGTATTTAATCTATTTAAATGAAATGTACTTTATTTATATTAAATAACTAATATCAATAACTGATATCTTATTCCATTTTAATGACCAGAATTAATCATACCCCTGGTAAATATGATTAAAAAAATGGTAGTAAAAAATAAATCCATATTGATTATCCTTTTGTTCTTTCAGAGGAAGCACAAAGGCCAAATTTCCTGAATCATCCATCACAATGAATAAAACCAAAGAACATGGTTCTGATGTGCATCAAAAGATTGTTGAGCTTCACAAAATAGAAAGTGGATGTAAGAAAAATAGCTAAAGAATTGAAAATTCCCATTTTGACCATCAGGGCAATAAGTAAGAAGTTATAATCAACTAAAGATGTTACGATTCTGCCAGGAAGAGGATGTGTGTCTATATTGCCTTAATGGACGGTGAGGATGAAAGTTTGAGTGGCCAAAGACTCTTCAAGGATCCCAGATGGAGAATTGCAGAGATTAGTTGAGTCTTGGGGGTCAGAAAGCCTAAAAAAAATATATCAAACAACCCCTGCATCCCCACATGTTGTTTGAGAGGGTTTCAAGAAAAATCCTCCTCGCTCCTCCAAAAACAAACTCTAGCATATTCAGTGGTCACACACGACTGGATCTTCAAACGGCACAGGGTTCTGTGGTCAGATGAGACTAAAAAAATAGCTTTTGGGCAGTAAGCACACTAGATAGGGTTTGGTGGACATGAGGATAAAAAGTACCCCATGTGTACAATTTAATATACCATTGGATCATTAATGTCGGGGGCCTATCTTTCTGCAGGAGGTCCTGGACTTCTTATTCAAATACATGCCATTGTGGATTCTATCAAATATCAACAGATAAAAAATCAAAACCTGACGGCTTCTGCTAGAAATCTTATAATTGGCCGTGTCAATTATATCAAAAATCAACACAAAAATGTGTTAGGGAGCACAAAATGAAGCTTCTGCCATGACCGTCCCAGACCCTGACCTGAACCATATAAAAAATGAGTGGTCTGAACTAAAGAGAAGAAGCACCAACATGGATCTGGGAATCTGGAGAGATTCTGTATGGAGGAATGGTCTCTGATCTCATCAGGTGTTCTCCAAACTCATCACATCAGGCATTATAGCAGAAAACTCAGAGCAGTTATCTTGGCAAAAGGAGATTGCAAAAAGGTATTTAATAAAAGGGTATGAATAATTGTGGCCAACGTGTTTTGGAGAAAAACATTATTTTATAGTGATTTCCCCCCCACTTTCAATTCTTTTACTTAAACGAAAGGTTAGGATTTTCCCAATTTTTTGAATGAGAGATCAAAAGGATAAGCAATGCGGATTTATTTTTTACTGCCATTTTAGATCATATTTTACCAGGGTTATGATTAATTCTGGTCACGACTGTACATAACTTAAATGTATACAATTACAGTGTTTGTTGGCAAAAAATAATGATTTGATAGCAGTTGTTGTCACAAAGGGATAATGTTTTAAATAGAGGAATATGTCGGTTAAAATTCTCATAGCTTTTTTGTAACGTGTATCAAGAATCGTCACGGCATGAGTCACTACATAAATAATTTCTTTAAAAAAATGTTTCTAAAAATAGTGTAAACAGAGTGATTATAAAAAAAATATATTATAAAAGTTATTATTATAAAATAGCAATTAAGAACACTAATAACCGACATTCAAAAGTGCCAGATGAAATGTACAACCACCAAATTACAGTAGCAGCTAATAGCTAATGTGCTACTTGGTTTAGCCTGTCAACCGCTAAACCCCAAATGCAGGAAAACGATAAAGCTCGTGCATGAAACAGGTGAATATGTTGTAGTAGAACAGAAACTCTGTAATATATTTGCTAAACGGACAGTATGTGTGAGTGAATGAACTCACTGTTGAGTTTGATGGCGTCCATCAGCTCGCTCTTCACTTTAGCATCCTGTTTGTGAGTCAGTAAAAACTTCAGCTGAGCTATTCTCAGATTAGGGTTTTTCGGTAAACCCTCTTCCTCCAGGTTTTCCAACGGCATATTTGCAGAGCTAAAAAATGACTACAGAACAACGGGAGAATATGTTACGGCTGGGAATGATAACGATGAACTAGTAGTGGCAACGATGACTAGGGGGAAATCTAAACAAAAAAAATCGGTACATTCACTTCCTCCTGCTCTGGAGACAACGACGCAGGGTAAAGACGGTCAATCGAAGCTAAACAACTAACAAGAAAGAAAAACACTGCCCTCGTATGGTTGTATGGAATATTGCATCTACAATCATATATGATTGTAGATGCAATTCCTAGCTTGAAAAACACTGAGTTCACAGAAAAGTTCACATTCTTTCATTGTTCAATATTCTAAAGACCCAACAAAATTAGCCTATACATTGCATACATTTTTAAAATAAAGCTATTTTATCCCTGGATAAATCCTTCATTTTTATATAGGTTAGCTAGAGGTATTTTTAGAAGACAAAATGTGACGAGTCATTCCAGTGTCAAAAATTAATCAAAATCCTCCCCAAACTGCCTAACAGAGATGACTCTGTATTTATTGAAGAGAAGCAGTCGTGATTCATGGACACAAAACAAGAATATAAGCATGAAGAGCATATTGAAGGAACTGGTAGGAACATTTTAGGCTACTAGCTATACGTAGCAGCCTAATAATTATATTACCAGAACTTTGAACTAGAAATCTAGTGAAATGAAATCTGAACTAGCCTATAATAGGATGATAAAAGAATCTCATTAGCCTATTTAAACAAAATCATAATGGTGAAGATATTGTCTCTGTGAACTATTTCTTTCAACTAAGTGCAGAGTTAAACACTTAACCAAAGTTTACTCATTTACTCAGAATGTGTGCTGGTTGTGAAGTATGGACATGTTGAATATGAATGTAGTGAACACTGTGTCTATAATTTCAGGTTGGTGGGAAAGCGCTTGTCTTTATCATTGTGCTTGGTTTGGGTGGATCATTTCAGAATGGATTTCATCTCGCAGCGATCAGCTCTCCGTCCCCAGTGCGCACTTGTATTTCTATTGATTTTGTCACTGTTATTACATCAAGAGTGCAGGTTACATTTTATTTTAAAGTGTCCTTGTTAGTGCCACTCTTAGTGAAATATGGTTCTTTATAGTGGAAACAGGTTCTTTATAGAGTATTTAAATGTTCTTTACAATTAGAAAAACATGGTTTGTTTTTGAACTTTTCACTGAAAGGTTCTTTGGGGAACCCAAAATGGTTCTTTTAAGGCATCATTATAAAAACCCCCTTAAGCTACGTGGATGTTTAAGGTTCTTGATGTCAATAAAGAACCTTTATTTTTTAAAGTGTAAGGATAAATGTCTTTAATGATTGAGGTTATTAATTTTTTTTAGTGATTAATGTATGCTTACAAGCTGCTTAATTCATAAAATGTACTCAAAATAAAATTAATTTAAAACAAAATTAATAAATGAACACCCATTTAATGATGGGAACCCCTAAGCGCCAGTTGGCGTAACTTAAAAAATAAGTGAGGGAACCCGTTGCCTTACAATTAAATAAGTAAATAAACTTCATGCATAATTGAAAAAAAAAAAAAGTTATGTGGAATTTTTCAATTATGCATTAATTTTATAAAGCTACTTGATAATTGTTAGGCAACCGGTTTCCTTTTTTTTAAGTCAAATCAACTGATCAGATTTTACACTTTTCTTTTAAGATTGAACTACACATATAATTAGGGTTCATTAACAACATTACTTGAGGGAGGGATAGGGTTTGGTTTAGTAGCTTTTAATTATGCATAATTTACCATTACTATAGCAAGTATATGTAACGTAACAAAGACACTTTTACCAGAAAGTAACATTTTAGTACATCTATGTCAATCAATTCATGATTTGTTTCGAATCTGTTTGCCCACAGTACATTCAGAGCTTTATTAACAGCAGCTGGATCCATCACTATGGAGATGTCCCAGGAGAGAAGACCATCACCTTGATCTGGTCTGCTGTGGTGTCTCTATACGCTTTTGGAGGTCTCATTGGCTCCATATCTGTCCGATACTTAACCAGTCGTCTGGGAAGGTTAATGTCACCCATCCTCGTCTCCTTTCTCCATTCTGACTTTTAACTTGTGATAAGTAGCATTATCATATCACTCTGGCATAAAAAAAATAGGATGGTCCTTTACAGTTCACATTCTTCTTTCAGAAAAGGAGCCATGCTGTTGAACAGTGCCATCGCAGTTGTGGCCACAGCCATCATGTACATTAGCAAACCAGCATACTCATTTGAGTTGATCCTTGTAGCACGCTTCCTAAATGGATTCGGAGCAGGTAGGTCAGACTGTATTATAAATAATATATTATTCATATATATATATAGCCTATTATACATTTTTTAACTCTGCAATAAGATGTAGCTTAAAGGGATATAGGCTCATTTTACAACTCACTATGGAAGTCAATGAGACCAGAAACTGTCTGGTTACTGATATTCTTCTTAATATCACAAAATCGGCTGAATGGATTCTAAAACGGTAAAACCCAACTGTTTAACTCTAGGGAGGGGTAAAATGAGCCTATTTCCAAAAAAGTGGATTATCCCTTTAATAATAAGTGATGTGTATTGTGATTTGCTTTTGCTCTTTGTTGGAAGGATTAGGTTTGAGTGTCCATACCATGTACCTGGGTGAGAGTTCACCAAAGAAAATCAGAGGGATGGTGACACTCACAGCCGCTACCTTTTTGTCCCTTGGTAAACTGGCAGGACAATTTGCTGGCCTCCGGTAATAATTAAGTATTAAAGCAAGAGATAGATCTTTTCTTCCGTATTGTAACCTGAGTGAAATGGATTCAAGTCGGCATGAAATGAAAGTATTTGCGATAGTATTGCGATAGTATAGTATTTTCATCCCTTTTTGTGACGGCGGGTCTTGATTTTTGTCTAGGAATTGATTGGATTGAAAAAAGTAGGCGAGGCTTGGTTCTATCCATTGGTTGTTGATTGGACGGAGGCAGATCTTGAAGTCGATTGCAAGAAAGAGGCGGGGCTTAAGCAGGCAAAGTTTCATTTCACCGAGTTGTGACGTTTTGATTAAGAATAACAAACATGCTAAATAGTTCACAATAAAATCAATAACATTAAAAAAAGATTTTCATTTCATGCCTACTTTAAAGGGATACTGCACTTTTTGGGGAAATAGGCTCATTTCACAACTCCCACAGTTAAACAGTTGGGTTTTACCGTTTTCGAATCCATTCAGACGATTTTCTGATATTTAGAAGAATATCAGTAACCAGACAGTTTCTGGTCTCACTGAAGTCAATGGGACCAGAAACTGTCTAGTTACTGATATTCCTACCCATGACACGACCAATTCGTACGAATTCGTACGAGTGATTAAAAAGTGGCTAATTCGTACTAATTCGTATGACCTCACTCGTACAAATTCATACGATTTTTCTAAACCCACGTAATGGTTAGGTTTAGGGGCGGGGTCAGGGCTAGGTCATTCATACGAATTCATACGAATTGGCCAATTCGTAAAATATGTACGATTTAGCAAAATCGCACTAATTTGTACAAGTGAGGTCGTATGAATTGTTACGAATTAGCCACCGCGTAAAATTCGTACGAATTCCCGTGAAATCGGGTTGGATATTCATCTAAATATCAGAAAATCGGCTGAACACATTAGAAAACGGTAAAACCCAACTTTTTAACACTGGGGGAGTTGTAAAATGAGCCTATTTCCCAAAAAAAGTGGAGTATCCCTTTAATGCTTGATTCAATTTATGAATATTTTTTTGAATTGCTCTAAGATTCTCATTTCATTCACAGGGAAATTCTTGGCCGAGAAGAGTGGTGGAACATCCTGTTGTGCGTCCCGACTTTTTTTCCGTGGTTCAGTTGGCAGTCTTGCCATTCTTCCCTGATGCTCCACGATATATTCTGATAGAGAAGGGCAACACTGAACAGTGCAAAAAGGGTGCATTACATTTAACCAAATTGATGCAATTTTATGTAACTGACGAACCTCTGTATGTCATTGTAACAACCTTTTGTGTTAAATGACGGATATGTGTTTCCATCGGCAGCACTGCAGTGTCTATGGGGACCAGGAGATTATAAATTGGAGATTGAGGAGATGGTAGAAGAGCAGGTAGTCATTGGAGAGGAGCACAATAGGAGTCTGCTTGATCTTCTCAGAGACAAACACTTGCGCTGGCAGATCTTTTCCCTGCTGGTCATGAACGGATGCATCCAGTTCAGCGGCATCTCTGCTGTAAATCATTTAGCTTTTACCGTCAATGAATCATAATGTGCTTCTGTATAGATTCAAAAGTGACCTAGTGTTCCTATGTCATCGTGTTGTCAAAAAGACTGTCCATTAATGGTTACAGAAACCTTGTTAAAATATGATCTTTTACCCTTCTCGCTCATAGATCACCGTCTTTTCTTTCGATATCTTTTTGGAAGCTGGAATTCCAGTGGACAAGATCCGTTATGTCACTCTGGGCATTGGAGCATCAGAAGTTCTTGTCTCCATTACCTGTGTAAGTTCCAGAGAAGCACATGGAAGTGTGTGACTTCAAATTGGATTGGGATCTTTTTCATGGTGGAGCATCATAAATCATCTTTGTGGCCTTTTTTAAATAGCATTTCTACTTGTGTGCATGTGTAGGGCCTGTTCATTGAGAGTGTGGGGAGGAGAGTCTTGATGTGGACAGGGTTTGGGGGAATGTCAGCCATTATGGCATTAATCACAGTCACTCTTTACCTAAAGGTGGGTTTCACTCATTTAACGGCCCACAGCAAGAACCGAACAGACCTTTATCGTCTCTTCTCTATTTCATCTGCAGGACTACAGCTTTGTGATTCCATACATCACAGTCATTCTCATTTTCCTCTTCATTATTTTCTATGGAGGAGGCCCAGGTAAAGCTATTTGTATATTTATATGACAATTGACATTTCAAAAGTGCTGTTAAAACAATTAAATATAGGAGGCGGCTCGCATAGAGAACCTTTCGCATTTCACTGCGCTACATTTTCATAGCTTTCTATGTGTGGGCTAGATGAAAGTGTGCTTTTTGAAAATTGTGGGAATCAAGTTAAAAGTTGTTCAGATTTTAATAAATGCATCTCTAGACCTTGCGTTTTTGTTTTAATTCCACTATCTGCGTCTGGTG